CTAACGCAAAACATCGACTTGCACAGTACATAAGAAGAATCACACATCATTTACGAATTAATTTACATGAAACCGAATATTTCCGTTGATTTCTGGTATGTCATTTATATTTACTGGATCCTTGGTCATCTTATTAACACATCTTAATCTTCAGTTAAAAGTATTAAGTTAAAGAATATCAAAAGTTTAAACAAATTTCTTTACAGTAATCTCATTAATTAAACAGCAAAACTATTGTAAAGTCTGGAAAAATCAACATGTGGACATTTTAAAAAAACAGGCTTTCATATTTTTTCTTGTAGAATACTACATTTTCAGGATTTATTTTCGTACGATAGATACATATATATACATAAATTATTGTGTTTGTATTAAGAATTTTTCTCTCTTCGCCACAATGAAGACATTTGCATCTTCTGTTTGTCAAAGACAGCTTCTACCATCATCTCTGTAAGGAGAACAATTTCTTCTCTGTATTAATATAGTTTTTGCTATCATCTCCGTGATAAATTCTTCCTTTTCTATATTCCCTGTACGTAGGGTGTAAGACAACCGTTCAGCTCTATAGGTGGGGTATACCTCAGCAGAAAGAAATATTCCGTTTCTATATCCCTGGTATCTATGATATAAGAGATTCTTTCTTATCTATAGGTGGGGTATACCTCAGCAGAAAGAAATATTCCTTTCCTATATCACTGGTATCTATGATATAAGAGATTCTTTCTTATCTATAAGTGGGGTATATCTCATTAGAAACAAACTTCCGTTTCTATATCCCTAGTATCTATGATATAAGAGATTCTTTCTTATCTATAGGTGGGGTATATCTCGTTAGAAACAAACTTCCTTTTCTATATCACTGGTATCTATGATATAAGAGATTCTTTCTTATCTATAAGTGGGGTATATCTCATTAGAAACAAACTTCCGTTTCTATATCCCTAGTATCTATGATATAAGAGATTCTTTCTTATCTATAGGTGGGGTATATCTCGTTAGAAACAAACTTCCGTTTCTATATCCCTAGTATCTATGATATAAGAGATTCTTTCTTATCTATAGGTGGGGTATATCTCGTTAGAAAAGAATCGTACTATATTTCTTGTACACGGTGTATAAGACATTCAGTTCTTTCTGTGTGAAGAAGTAAAAGACATGTTATTTACTAAGTTAAAAGTGCTTATTCTTTACTAAAGTTCCTTTCCTTAAGAGAAGATAATGGGGTTTTATTGATAGGGTGTACCTAATCTTTCTCTCTCTCTGTCAGCATGATACATCCAGGTATTTAGCAGAATAAAGCACCTCAGAGCCACCTACAGAAATTCACAGTTATTATGCCCCCTGAGTTGAGATACACTATGTAGCCTCTCTATATAGCATACTTCTAGAAAAACAATAATAAGACTTCCAAATGCTCGGAAGAGTCACGCCTGGAATTCTAACTTGGAAGAGTTTCGGGATAAGGATCTGGATCTTGAAGGTTGTCTAAGATGACATCGAAGCTGGTAGTATGCTTTCTCCAAATGGATCAGTTCCTGTTACGAAGAACCAGAATAAATCTGTTAGGATTCTGTATTTTTTACAGCCTGTCCTTAGTTTATTCGGAAAACGTTAATATTATCAAAGCTTGGAGAGTGGTATTGTATTAACTTTCTCTCTTTATAGAGGTATAACATGGGTTCTCAAATAAATTCAATGTTACTCAAGACTCGAGAGATAAATTAGCCGGAAGAAGACTGAATGGGTACGTTATAAGTAAGCAGGGTATCATAACCCAAGCACCAACAATAAGCAGGATATCCTAACCCAAACACCAGCAGTAAGCAGGGTATAATAACCCAAACACCAAGAGTAAGCAGGGTATCATAACCAAAACACCAGCAGTAAGCAGTGTATAATAACCAAAACATCAACAGTAATCAGGGTACCATAATCCAAACACCAGCAGTAAGCAGGGTATCATACAAATACATAA